AATGAACAGTATTTTCACCTATAGGTTTGGCGCTATCAGAGTTTCTCAGACTGTAACGAACATAGTAGGTCCGTTGCGGTATTTTTTCATGCAAAAAAATATAGGCAACGCTACGGTTCTCGTAGATCCGTATCAATTTTTAAGGGAAAACTGCCGCAAGACGAAACACTATTCAATTTTTCATATAGACGTTTTTAAGAGTTATATATATATATAAGTTTTAAGTAGTTTTTATATATATATATATATATATTACATTAATAAAATAAATATAAATAAATATTAAATTATATAATAGATTGAATATAGAAAGACGATTTACCTTTTGCGCATCGCAATCATTCCCATTATTAAATGTCATTTTTCTCATCTCTTTCGTGCACGTCAAATATTCTTTTTTATATTTTCGCTTTGCTCTCTCTCCTTCTCTCATGTAAATGAACACATTTGCATGCAGGAGGAATCCTAGAAACTCTTCCAACCTCATCACACAATTAGGGCGCCGTTCTAGTGGGCAAAGAGCTAACTCACAAAACAAAACCACATTGAAAAAACTTGCAAAAGTAATACAAGTCCAAATACATGGAGCCCTTCCATTCTGACCCTTAGATTTTGAGATTAAGATTTGACATAGCTCGAAAATAAACAAATTATATGGAATAAGGATTCTTTTGTAATTTAAAAATGAATTCGTATTCACCAAAAAAAAAAAAAAAGAATTCGGGTATCATGCTTTTTTATATAAAAATGCAAATTTAATATTCATCTTTAAATATATCTTACTTAGCTAAAAAACAAAGACTAGCACCTTTTTCGTTCTTCTCTTTTATAGAAATTGGCATTTTTTTTTTTGGGTTCATGTTTCGACTTAGTTGTGAGCTGTAAAGGTGATTTGGAAGGAGATGGAGAAATGCATTCAAAAGAAATAGAAGATGAAGAGGCGCCTTCAAAAGACAGTGAAGATGAAGGGGAAGCCACTTGCTCTAGTGTAAAGATGATACATCTCTTCTTTTTGGTGTTGTCCAAGGTTATAAAGAACCCCAATACTTATGCCAGTGTTTTGGGCCTAGTTTGGGGGCTCATTGCCTGCAGGTGGTCCTCGTCAATTCTTTTTTAATATTTTACTATAAAGCATGTAGTCCTTTTCAGTTTTTTCATTTGGTGGGCAGCAATGAAATTTTGAAAGGATCAATGGGCGTTCACGTCTCAAAAGAGAGAAATATCTCAAGAGAAAATATGAAAAAAAAGAAAAGAAAAAAAAGAACACAATGGACTATTTGAATAAGTTTTTATAGAATTTGACTGGCTCAATATAGCATATATTCTTTTCCTTTATTTTCCTTTTTGATAAGAATACCTTGGTTTAGAATAAGGATATCTTAGGGTATCAGCCATCTTAGAATTGATCTTACGCGAGCAGCTTAGGTTTTGACTAAAAGAAAACAAAGAGAATCAGTGACTCATGTAGTAAAGTTTATGAAGATATGGCTAACAAATCTCCCAATAAACACTTCTAGAATGGTCGAAAAGTAAGTATACATAGAAGTCTTTCAAAGAGTTAAAGGGCTTACTTACAAGGAGACCATTTATATTTGAAAAATTGTTTCATGAGTCAGTGGCGCAACATCCCATTGACTTACACACGTCCATCCTAAAGATGGACCTTATCTAAAGTATATTGTTCATAAATAAGATATGGATGGTGCATAAAAAGATACTAAAATTTTATATTTTTAATTTTAAAATTTTATTATTCTTTTCATATTTATGATCAGCTTGGCCTAGATGATGAATCTACAAAAAAAAAAAAAATTAGAAAAAATTCATCTAAAATGAATTTTAGTGGGAGGCCACATATGTACATATGAATCGGCCAACTCATAGAAATCTCATGCTTTATCTTTTGTACATGGAGATCACAATCATTGGTTTGGGGTGAGTCATAAAGTTTGACAATTTTTTTTTTAAACTTTGTGTCTATTCAATGATATTCTTACAACTACCTATTTTGAAATTTAGGGGACAATAATGATTATGACTTCCATGTACAAAAGAAAATGATCTCTTTGTAGACAATCCCAAATTGAGTTAAATAATCCCTGCCATAAAATGATGGATTGTTTTGATATTTCAGGTGGAACATTCATATGCCAAAGATAGTTCAAAATTCCATATCAATATTGGCTGATGCTGGTCTTGGCATGGCCATGTTCAGTCTAGGTGAGAGTCACACCACTGTTTATTTAGACATATCTTTTACCATTAATCTACAATATATAAACTAGCATATGAGATTTAAGTTGGTAATTCACAATATAGATGTGTGATCAAATAATGAAATTGAAGTACTTGGCTTTAGATCAGTTTAAGCTCCTAGATCTAAAAACACAATGAGACAATCTTGATCTTGTGTTTGTGCTTGCAGGTCTTTTCATGGCATCCCAAAACAAAATAATAGCATGCGGAAAGCGTAGGGCTACCCTAGCCATGGTTGTGAGATTTCTCCTCGGCCCGGCGGTCATGGCTGCCTGCTCTTTAGCAGTTGGTCTTAGGGGCAAGTTGCTACATGTAGCAATTGTTCAGGTATGGCCCGGTGGTCATGGCTACCTGCTTTTTAAATATCTTTTGTTAATCAACTTGGCCAAGATTCAAGCGTTTTCTGCCAATTTTATTTATTCATGTAAATATTTTAAAACATAAAGAAAGCTAAAAATTAAACCTACATTTGATACCAAATCCGGAATTGACCAATGGACCAAAAATATATGATTTTTTCAAAAACTCTTGTTGTTTTTTTTATTTTTATTTTATTTTGATTTTTTTTATTTTAAATATGTTATGAACTCCGAGTATTTCAAAAGATCTTTAAAAAAAATCATATTCTTTTAATAGAAACGATATAAACATTTCAAGGAAACTTATTGTCTATTACTTTATGTCTTCATGATTAATATCATTGAATTTTGGTTTAGAGATTAGTACCATTAAAGTGGATGCAAATTAAAAATATTGATTTAACAATATGTTCCCTTAAAACAAGTGTTCTAAAACAATAAAAGCAATATTTCTCAAAATCAATCTATCAAAACAATCGTATATCTCAAAATAATAGGTAGAGTTAGAATAAGAATAACCCAATGAAAAATATATATGTTTTGTCTAAAACCCATCACTCAGTTACAACTAAATATTTAAGAAGTTAGGAACTTAGGCTGAGATTCAAATTTTTAGATTTGCTTAAGCATTTCATTGCTTTCATTTTACATATAGAAGTTTGATTAATTTTACCTTTTATTATTTTCTATTTCATCGGTATACAAAGCATACAATATTGCAATTTGAATGGACCACTATTTAATATTTGGTTTTTTGTGTTGCAGTTAACTGCATTCCTATATTGATGGTTTTTTTCATTATTGTTTCAGACAATAATCCTATTTTAGGTTATAGTTCTTGTTATTTGCTAATGTAGCTATTGTGTTTAGTATTGTTGTTGTTTTTTAATTGTATATTCTCAATTAATCTATGACATGGAGAGTAAACAGTGTTCTTGTATTTGTTAAAAGTTTAGACAAAAATTTTTCAAGTATTACTCTAATGATAGTATCTAAGGACATGAAATTATTTTTCAATGGCTTTAATGTATTCATACAATAACGGCAAATCATAATCTTATACTATATCATCTCTACATATCCGATTTCTTCACTCTGATTTATGTACCAAAACTGAAAGATTTATGATTCTTTTACTTACTTTATGTGCCGAAGTATTATGTCCTGAACTTGCTAATCTGATCTCGCTCACTTCATTTAAGCAAGGGCCGAAGTGTTATGAAGTCCACATGTTACTTTACAAATTACTCATCTGCCAAATGAGAAAGGGATTATGTACTCTGTGACCATTTATTTTTTGGTACAAAGAGGTCTCAATTTTTAGCCATTAGATATTACATTTAATTGATTGAAGTGTGTCATAGTATTTAAAACTTTTTGTTTCAGATAATGTGCCAAGTCAATGACACAATACCAACCACCCAATTTCACATCTAACCATCAACAATAGATGTGATCACCTTGTACCAAAAATAAATAATCTCATTATATATATTTCCAATAAAAAAGGGTTATTTGTATAAATATGGACTCTAATGCGACAGGGGCAAACTACTTAGTTGTAAAAACAAAAAAACATGTGGTTTCTGGAAGTAAGGTCTCTCTCCCTCCCTCTCTCTCGGCATATAATGCCCATAAAAGTAATTCTCCATGTTTTCCATGAGATAATTTTAGTGTAGATTATATAGTGCTTGTTTATCTAATTAATAGTTTATCCATCTTCTTTGTAAGTGCTTAATCAATGAGATGAAGTGCAGGCTGCTCTTTCCCAAGCAATCACTCCATTTGTTTACGCTAAAGAGTATAATGTTTACCCAGATATTTTAAGTACCATGTGAGCACCGCTAACCTTTTTGTTCATTGTAAAATTTTGTGTATTTTTCTGTTGTATATATCTTTCATACTGCCCCTCCTATCTAGGTGTCTAATTTAAATGGATGGCTGCGGTAACTTGCCTCAAAATGTCACAAGTGAGCCATTGTCTGTGTGATATATATCTGATGTTTACGGCTATTTTTTTAAAAAAATTTTATACAGTCATAATAATCTGAAATTTGATATGTGTCATCATGTCAATGGTGTGCATTTAAAGAAAATATTAAAAAAAATATATTTTTGAAAAAAAGCCAAAATACCTCTAAAAATTTTAAAGGTATTTTGGACATTATATTTTATTGGAGTATTTTTTCATACTTTTTGTAGGTGCGAGTTTAAGAGAAGACTGGACGCCCCAAAGTTGGTGTCAAAATATTTTGTAAAAAAAAAATTAAAAATAAAACTATATAAAAGTTTGACATTATGATTGGAGTCATCTCAACCATCCATTCAAATTATGCAGCTAGGAGATGGGGAAGTATATAAGATATATATAGCAAGGAAGTATAAACAATTTTCCGTATTGTATATTAAGAAAGTTGAAGCTTTTACGTAATATTTGAAGGATTTTGATGGCATCTTGTTTCAATGTAGGGTCGTTTTTGGAATGCTGGTTTCCTTGCCAATAACATTGGCCTACTACGTATTGCTTGGCATCTAAGAGAGAGAGACGGTGGGACTAAGATGGTTACATGGAATAAGCTGCTCAAACGTGAGCGAGACTTGGAACGACACAAGGGTGCCAAGATGTCCAGACACATGGAACTTAGTTTAGATTGGTGGTTCAGATCTTATTGTGCCAGTTTCAAAGGAACAGTTCGGATTAAAGAATCCAACATTTGGGAACTCAGATTGAATTTTTGGGGCGTGCCCTAAAATTGTGACGGCATTTTGGCTTATAGTATATGCATGGTTGCACGTACTGCCAAGAGAGCTCTAACCGAAGGCAATCTTTTCTACTTGTATTCTCCAAATTGTTCCTTTTATGTTATGTAAATAAATCATTTAGTTGTTACATTTTACATTTCCATACTAGCTATGTAGCTTTGACCCTAGCCTGGCCCTAGTTGTTACATGGCCGGTCTTAGCCCTGCCCGAACTGGGCTGAAGGGGCCAGGCTTGGCCCGGCCCTTGCCCTTGAGCCATGGTCATCAAGCTTGGCAGCCACATCTGTGGCCCAAGATCTAGATTTTAAGGGCGGGGCAAGTCACTTTTGTGTGTGGAAGCTCTAAACTATATGAGTTATTTTTCTTCAAATAAAGTACCGAAAAAATAGAATTGACAACAAGCAAGAAAGGCAAAGCATAAAAGAAATATAAAAAAAAAGAACACCAGAATTTACGTGGTTTGTTACAGATATGACTACATCCACGGGCACGAAAAACTAAAATCTATATAAATAAAAGTTACATAATAGATTATGGGATAAATAGTTACCTTTCTAATCCTGTACAAAACCCAATCGAGCAAACCGTTTTAGACCTGCTCTCCCGACAGGCACTACTGTCGATCTCTTATCTCTATTCCATAGCTAGACTACTGTCCAGGACGAGAACATTGAGGACAACCGAGTCTTTCTCTAACTAAAAAGGGAAAGCACCCAAAATCTCCAACGTAATCACTCTCTAAAAAAAACAGCCTCTCCTACATGAGGCACCATCGCAAGGCTTCTCTCCATAAGAAGCTCTCTTCTCCATAGGAAGTTATCTTCTCTCTAAGGGGAGACCTTGCCTCTTTCTCTAGAGAAGCCATATTTCCCTTATGGTCATCCAAATAGAGCACACATATTCTTTCATTTTTCATCCCATATATAAAAGGTTAGAAATCCATAATAAATAAGAAACTTCCTATAAATGGATGTTATATATATTAAAAAATCAAGAGATATATCCAAGGGTCTTATCTTTTTCGATTTCTATTTCTTTTAAGAAACTTATCAACATCAATCTCAATCCTACATAATAAGGGATTTCCTATGTGGGTGATTTTAGATATCATCATATCCAACAATATCCATTATGATATGAACCATGCCAACATCTAATGGATAACTTTATTAATTCATCATAATTTGCCAAATAAATTATTTTTTCACCTCAAATAAAACGCTAACATACTTTGTCATATGCTTTTTTTCTACCGAATGCACAAACACTAGCCTTGTACTCAACCATGCGCTCTGATATCACTTTGAGGGCATGGTACTCACCGCACCAATTTTTTGGATATGATGATATCCAAAATCACCCACATAAGAAAATCCCATATTGTTTCAATGCTTCTCCTACTGCGTAAAACTTATATGCTTCTATCTATCCAACCGTACATTATGAATGGACGCCTGAGATGACCCCAATCACAATGGCATGTCTTTACACTATTTTATTTTTAATTTATTTTTGCAAACTATTTTGACACCAAATTTGGGCAACCACTCCTCTCTCACAATCCCACATGTAAAAAATTATAAAAACAATATTCTCAATAGAATAAAACGACCAAAATATCTTGATAGTTGTAGGCGGTATTTTGATCATTATATTTTATCAAAAATTTATTTTTAAGGAAAAAGTTTATATAGAGCCGGGGCTCTAAACAATCAAATTAGAGCCCACCTCAAAAATTTCACTAAAAGATGTTGTTTTGATGCCAAAATATCCTCAAATAGATCATCTTGATATCACGATGCATGGACATGAGAAAATAATGGATTTCAAGTTTTGAAAATAGTGTATCCGGAACTCATTTTTGGACCGTCAATTTTCAAGATTTTTAATTTTTCATAGATCTGCCGATCTACACTATTTTTGAAGCTTTGAATTTTAAAATTAAAGATAAAAAATATATTTTAAGTGTATCACAAAGACTTCCACTATTGAAACCAAATATTTTTACTTAATTTGAAGGTACGCTTTACCTTGATTGTTTAGAGCTTCGGCTCAATACAAACCGCATCCTATTTTTTATATTGTTTTTATATGCGCTCTTTTGAGATGATATCACATACCAAATTGCATAATCATATAATTTGTAGAAAAATTAAAAATCAAATTCTTTCAAACACTAGATCTAGATCAACCAGCCTATGGCTCACTTGATCTAATTGGCTGCAGTGGAAGTATAGAAACCTTTTCAAAATTTAAAATATATAAAATTGGACAAACCATCATAGGTGACTTAACTGCATTTTAGTGGTGTCAGCATAATAACTTATTCTTATCTTGGCTGGATTGGATTATTTAGTAAGCTCCATCGGCTGAGAGAGAGAGAGAGAGAGAATTATAGCGAATAGGATGAGAAAAGAAAGAGAGGAGGCACGACCTCCCACACTTTAGGGGTCCAACTGCTATAAAAGAAGCAGCGGAGTAGAATTGAGCCCAATATCCTAAACCAACTGTGTTTTCTGGTCAAGTAAAATGATTTCTGCATCAGCTTTCTACGACATTTTTACGGCCATGGTGCCCCTTTATGTGGCCATGTTCTTAGCCTATGGCTCTGTAAAATGGTGGAGAATTTTCACCCCTGATCAGTGCTCCGGAATCAACAGATTTGTAGCCATTTTTGCAACCCCCTTTCTCTCACTGCGAATCATCTGCTCCATCAATCCTTACAAAATGAACCTCAGATTCATACTTGCGGACACGTTGCAAAAACTGTTGATTCTTTTTCTGCTGGTTTTGTGGGGCAGTTTCAGTAGTTGGGGGAGCTTGGATGGGGTGATAACCCTCTTTTCTATCTCTACTTTGCCTAATACTTTAATTATAGGGATACCATTATTGAGTGCCATGTATGGGGTGGAGAGTAATGGTCTTTTGATTCAGATTGTGGTTTTGCAAGGTTTGGTATGGTATACACTTTTGCTGTTTCTATTTGAATTGAAGGCCAAGATGGTAAAGGGTCCCCAAATTACAGTATCAATGGGTTCAGAAGTTTCTCCGGTGGATGCTCAAAGTTCAGGTATGGAGGTTGTTTACTTTTCTCTCTGATGAGAGAGAGAGAGATTTATTAGGCAATAGTTGATGTTAGAGTTCTATTAGACAATAGTTTGATGTTAGATAGTAAAAAATACAAAAACTTTTTTTTTTTGTAATTATCATTTGTTATAAACTTTTTAAAACCAGCCATAAAACCTCTTTTTTTTTTTTTTTGCGTTAAAAAATAGTTTAATATGATCCTGATTTTTGTTTTGTTTATTAAAAAGAAAAATTGGCTTAAATGGGTCATATGGAAACTTTATAAGTTTAGAACTTTATGATAAAAACAGTTGAAAAACTACTCTTATAGGGAAAAAGAACTTATCCAAGAATAAACTATTTTATATTATGAATATACTTAAAAAATATGTTAATGTCTCATGAAAAATTGAAATCATTTTAATTTATAAATTAAAAATATGAAAGATTTTATGAAAGATTTTAAAACTAACTTTTTATTTTATAAATTATATTTTTAAAAAAGTTTAAAATATGGGAAAGTAAAGGAGAATAAAAATATAAAATATAAAATATAAAATATAAAAATAAGAAAATTAAACTATTTTTTAAGCATAAAAGTACTCACTTAAAATTTTCAAAAAAAATGAAAGAAAGAATTTAAGTCCAATATTTTTAATGAGCAAAATATAATTATTAATATTTATTTAATTGCTAATAGAAAATAAAGAATTAAAAATTATTTCAAAAATTAAATTCTAAATTCTAAATTTTAAATATTAGAAACTGATTGGGTATTTTTAAATTATTTAGTAGTTTTCATATACCAAAACGAAATGTAAAAAAACTCATAAAATTTTCATAAAAATTTGAAATTCATAATCAAATGAAATGTAACTACCTAAAAAAACAAGAGTTATCAAATCTTATCCGTTGTTGATGAAACATTAGTATTTATACAGTCTTTTCAAAATTTTATTAGCTTATAAGAGTTTTTACATGTGATGACAATATTAACCATCAAATGAAAAGTATAATATAAATAAAATTTTTGGAACCTGAAATTCATATGAGTTTTCATATCTGGCACTCTAAAGAAAATATTCTCAAAATAAGATTGTGAACAAGAAAAACATATAGTGAGGTGATTGTGAAATTCAAATTGACTACTTATCTTCAAGTAACAAGGTTTCCCAGTATAATCTTACTCTAAATCTTGTTATATTATGCACATGAAGTATTACCATTTAAAATTAAGGAAATATACAACTTGTCTCAAAAGATGAAAATGATAGTTGAGCTTTATAGACTGGCCAGAGTACATGCACAAAGTAATATAATTAGAAAAATATGAATATAGAGAACAATAAAAAACTAATGTAAAAAAAAAAAAAACCTAAATACGAGAAATTATATTCAAATAATATAAAATAATAAAATAAGTAACAAATGATATTAAAGACAATAGTTAAACTGTATGTAAATCTACAGACATATATGAGTGAAGGGACACGATATCTTTCTAGAATTCTTGTGTTCTCTTATCTCCATTTATGCTTCACTATACACACATAATGAAAGGCATAGCTACTTGCCCTATAAGTTTCGTATATTATCAAAAAAAAAAATTATTTATTTCTTTCAAGGCATTCGTCAAAATTTACTCTTTGCATGGATAATCTTCTCTCTCACTTGCATTATTTTTCAGTAATTCACTATATTTAGTTATATACATAAGATCAAGCAAGATATCATCTTTATTTATAATTGGAAAGAATCACTAGATGTTCACCTAGAAAAATCTTCAATGATCTCTCTACTAGATTTTCTACCTCTCTCTCTCTTAAGTCTATCTCATTGATTTACAATAATGTAGTATATTTGGATATAAAGAAGATACATAGAGAGAAATCATGAATAAAAGCTCCATAAAAATAGTGTGCATGCATATTTATTAATTAAAAATAAGTAAAAGATCTAAGAGCGTAAGAGAGATCATTGAAAGAGATTTACTACATTGAGGAGGGGAGAGAAAGAGTAAAAATGAGAGGAGAGAGGGAGTTTGTGGATAGAGGAGAGATAATAAAATCCCTATATATATAGTTTATATGCAGGTCTATAATTATTATGGAAGGAGATGATAACTCAAAACAAAATTAATTGTTCTTCAAGATATAGATAACTAATAAATATTGTATTAATAGATAAGGGGAGTTATTATGAAAAATCGTTGAGAGAAAATCTTTTAGCACGCACATATCTACCTCTATTAAATTAGGAGGTAAAATAATTTGTTGTACGTCCTTTACCTCTGTCTAAAGTATATAGATAACCAACAATTAGTGCATTAATATATAAGAGGAGTTATTAAATATCTTATCACAATCTATCTCTCTAATTTCTCTCCCCACGTAGTGTCTATCTCCCTCCCCACCCACTCTCTCATTCAATGTCCTCTCCACTTCTCTCTCTCCCTAAAAGATGGCATCCTAAGTTTCTCTCTCCCTCTTGAAGATAAGAATCTATCCCCTTAATTCTCTCTCTTCATAAAATACATACATCCTCTCGAAGATGAGAATCTATTCCCTTGATTCTCTCTCTTCATAAAATACATATATCCTCTTGAAGATGAGAATCTATCCCCTTGATTCTCTCTTTTCATAAAATACATAAAGGTTGTTGTGTACTCTCTCTCTTCCTTAAAGTTAGTGTGTGGATTCATTCTCTCTCCCTACATACTCTCTCTCTTTTAATGATTTTCATAACTAACTAAATCTTCTACATAATTTTCTTAACCTATAATTTTTATCGTTCATTCTTTAAAATTTTTTGGTATGAATCTAACCATCTCTATTCTAAAATATGTATGCACTAAAATTAGTGCACGGATGTGTTCTCTGTCTTCCCTAAAATTAGTATATGGATGTGTATTCTTTATCGTCCCTTTTATGGGAATCTCTCTTACAACCCCTATAGAATTAAGATGCTTTTTTTGTGACATGTGTCAACCCACAACCCTGTAGAATTAAGATATTTTTTTATTTTTACGACATGTGTATATCCTTTAATTCTGGCTTAATAATGTAGTATATGGATGTATTCTCTCTCCCCCATGTACTCTCTATTTTAATGATTTTCATAACCAACTAAATCTTCTAGATAATTTTCTTAACCTGTATTTTATATCACTTATTTCTTTAAAGTTCTTGGCATGAATCTAACTATATCTATTCTAAAACATGTATATGCTAAAATTAGTGCATGGATATGTTCTCTCTTCCCTAAAATTAGTACATGGATGTGTTTTCCTTATCTTATATTTTTGGTAAATCTCTCCTACAACCTTATAGAATTAAGATCCTTTATGATTTTTGCGACATGTGTCTACCCACAACCCTCTTTATAGAATTACAATATTTTTTTTTATTTTTGCAATATGTATCCATCCTTTAATTCTGCCTTAATAATGTGGTGTATGGATGCATTTTCTTTTCCCCACGTACTCTCTATTTAATGATTTTCATAACCAACAAAATCTTCTAGATGATTTTCTTAACCTATATTTTATATTACTCATTTCTTAAAATTTCTTCGCATGAATCTAACTATCTCTATTCTAAAATATGTACATGTTAATTAGTGTGTAGAAGTCTACTCTCTCTCTTCCCTAAAAATTAATACTTGGATCCGTTTTCTTTATCTTCCCTTAAACATGGGAATATCTCCTACAACCCTATAGAATTACTGTTCCTTCTCATTTTCAAGACATGTATCCACCCCTTCACTTTGCCTTATATATATATATATATATATATGGAAAATGATTTTGTGCGCCCAGGTGCGTACTGCTACAATAAACAATTTGATGATCACAGATATTCGATAGTATTTGAATTTTAATTTTTTTTCTACATATCCAAATCATTTGAAATTTTAGGCATATATTTTTAAAAAATAGGCGAATGTATGAAAAATATCAAAACATTTTTTTACATGAAATAAATAGACCAAAATACCCCTGAAATATTTCAGGGGTTATTTTTATCATTGTTTTTGTGAGTTATTATTTTTTATATTTTTATTAGGTACAACATGATGAGAAGAGCACACGTAAAATTTCAAGTGATTTAGATTTATAAAAAAAGAATTAAAATTTAAATACTATCGGATATCTATGAGCATTAGATCGGCCACAGAATGGCCCAAATTCAATCTGGGCTATTCGCGTATGGGCGTACATAAGTGACTATATATATATATATATATATATATATATATA